AGCAGGAACCCATAAGGCAGCTCATATCCTTGCAGAACTATTCTCCTCCCTCAGTTCTCCTCCTCCGGGGTAACAAATTACAGCTGTGCAGAACCTGCAATCTCTCTACCTGCAGCTGAAGAGCAGAGACGTACTTCTTCGCATTCACATCTTGCTAAACACACAGCTGCCACTCGTTTTTGCACATTTGTATACTCCAAATCAAAATCACGGTGATCATTCCGCAAATGGTGATGTAGCATCTTCTCCTTCTTAACTTTTTGGGCTTATATCTTCTCTCTGACTTATTGTTCTTCTACTTTCCAGACAGATTTATAGTATGGCACCTATGTCATATATCTTTGTGCATTGCCTTTAGCAAATAAGATTACTGGTTCCACCTCTGAGCACAGAACTTGTACGAGGTGAATCCCAAATGCTAAAACAATTTTCTAAAGTTACATTTTACTCAAGAGCAACACTCCCAGGGGATTGAGACAGTTTCTCAACAGAGTTTCAACTATGCTGTTCATTTAATCAGACAAAATAATTTTTAAAAGTAGAGAAAAATATTTTTAAAATATTTTTTTAAAAAAATTCTACATTTTTTATTTTTGGTGCTCTCTTTTCATTTTTCATAATAGTTACATAAATATGTAGGGCAAATTTCTTGATTCTGATAAGCATTTCAAATCCCTGTAGCTCCAGATGCTTCTATTCCATGCAAAATTCCCTTTAGTGGTGAATAAGAAAATAATAAAAGATGGTTTACACATTTACAGGACCTTTCATCCAAGAGTCTCCAAGGGATATGTTCACAGTAACATTTTCATCTTATAGCTAAGGAAATCAGAGGCTAGAAAGATTAAAGCCCAAACCTTTAAAGATGCCTTTGGAATTAATTGGAGCCTTGAAAACCTTTCACGATCTGCATCTAAGTAACTTGTCCAAGGATGTACCCTGTGAGCAACTGGAAAATAAAATACAAGTGTCATGAATCCCCTTTTCATTATTTTAAGGCTACAAAAAAGGAACTACACAAATAGAACAAATATATCTAAAGAACTTCATACAATTCACAGAAGAGAGATTCCCCTATGAAATTAAGTCCCATGACACTCGTTTGGTGCTCCAAATATGCTTGTTGCCTCATGGCAGAAAGTACAGACAATCAGTGTATGGAAATATATATAACATTGTATAATGTACAATCTTGTTATATATCACATTTGGAGAGGCCTCTGAACCTGCAGGAATCAGCATCATAGGTCATACATGTGTGTGTGAGTGTGTGTGTGTGTCTGTGTGTACATGCATGCAGTCCCAGAGGGCTACTTGCATGGTGGAGGGGAGTCCTGTTATGATGATTTTCATCATTTAAGTTTAAAAGACTAACACTTCTATCTAGCTGATGGAAAATTGGTTTGTTCCTTCAAAAGGGAAGCAGAGACCCCAAAGGACTTGTCTGAAGTTCAATAATGGGAATATATTCCTCAAGAGACCTATATCCAGAATCAGTTTCCAGTTGATGAGATGCTTCATTTATGCTCCATGCAGGCACACAGGTAATCATATCAGCAAAAAGGGAGGGGAGAAGGAATCAGTACCCAGGTTTGTATGATCCTACTTTCTTTTCAGAATTTTACACATAGTTTGATAACTGCTGTAATTCAAAATTTAATGGCACAGTTTCTGTCAATAACAGGAATTAAAGATCTGATCCTGCTTCTACTGAAACTACTATTGACTCTGACGGTACATGATTGGACATCAAAGATATTTATACATTTTATTTAACACTTTGGTATTAAAAGTTCTGCTACTCAAGTCAAAAGCTTACAAGCTGAATTAAATGTATATTCAGTATCTATAGCATCTATAGTCCTCCTTGTAAATTATGTTGTGTGTATTTTAGAATATAATCAATATATGTCACAATATAGAATTTTACCCTGTGGGACTAAGTTACAATACTTTTCATTTTAACTATCTTCATTTGTTTTCAGGATTTTTTTTTCCAGAAATGGCAAAAAAATTGTTGGTTTAAAGAAAATATTAACCTAAAATAGTAAAGCATGCTTTGAAAATTACAGATGTGAAGAAAATTGGAATGAAAAAGAATCCTCCTGGGTGAGATTATTCACAAGGAAACACTACATGAATCATAGTTTTTGAAAGAGGAAGAACCCTAGAGCAGGTGAGATTTGCATACTAATTAGAGACAAAGTTTACTTAGGCTCACAGGCCACTTTATCTTCAATCACAATACAGCATCTGTTTTAAAAGAGTCTAGCTTGACTGCTGGTATTACAAAAGCTAAAATTTTTCTCTGCTTTCATTATATATTATTGCTTTTGTGGTTTACAATACAAGGAGTATTATTTTTTCATATTTAAGTTAACTCCTGTTTAGAAGTAATTTTTATTGAAAATAAATTGGAGGTAGCATGAAATAAAGATTATCCAAAACAAGTAAGTTCAAAAATACACAGGACTGAAACGGACCTGATAGCTGAAATAATGACATTAATAAGTGACCCTTATAATTTCAATGCCCTTCTATTATCCCAATCCTCAAGGCTATCCACCTTCTCCTACACGATAGGAATCCTTCCCCGCATTATAGACTCCTTCCTATCTAGTTGACATAAGCAAATTTCATAAGGACACTCCACTCCCAACATTTGATAATATGATTAGTGAAATTATTATATAAAAAACATCTCAAGATCATTTCCTGAGAAGCTCCAATTGTAAATTCCCTACAGTATAATATATCCCAATTTAATACTACTGTCATCTGCTCGTTTGCAAATTCTTTATCTTCTTTATGATTCTTTTACTAAGCCCCATGTTTTGCTTTCTAATTATTTCCAGTGCAACACTGTACTCAATAAGTATATTATCTTCCATATGAATTTTAACATTTTAAAAATTTCATTAATTTGGGAATCTGCATCTTTGGATATCTAACTTGATTTGATTGCAATGGAAATATTTAGATGTACAGATGTACAGTACTAAATGTTTGAAAGTTAATATTCCAAAAATTGAGGAACCCACTATTTTGTGAATTCAGTTGAAAACTGATGTTCAGTCCCATAAGACGGAAATTCTGTCAGAAAATTCAAAAGAATGCAATGAATCAAGTCAAGGTAACAGGCAATTTGATTAATCATTTTACTTCATATTAAAATGAACTACGATATGCAGGAATGATCTACTATTACATGGATTCCTTTCCAAGACCACAGCTTTATCACTTCATAGAAAAGTTTGGCCATCCTTTCTAAGTCAAAAAACACTTATACTCAGAAAATAAGTTTTAATTACTCACAAACATACATACAAGATCTTCCTGAAATAACTGTTCCATCAGTCCTCCAATTTTAAACAAACATGATGCTTAAGGCTATCATGTTTCCTCTTTTCCTATATAGGTCTCCTGTTTCTACCTGGAATTTATTTCCAGACGACATTTGAAGGCTACGGGCTTCATCCACAGTTTCCATCTGCTCATTCATGGAGACACGGGCAGCTCTAATTTGAGCAAATTTACCTGATTTCTGCATGCTTCCTTGAAGATCATATTCATTCTTTTGCACCTAGTCATAGCAAACATGGCCTCTCACTTACTGGTGAGGAAGAAAATAATCTCCAAAGTCTCTCTAATAGCAGAGATTACAGCTGAGCTACTACAATCTCACACGCTGTGAAAGCAGTTGTTGCTTTTACTAGACATATACCCTGAACCAGAAGAACAATCGTAATATTGAGTTCAGTGGTTCTATTCAATCAGTCACCTAACTCACCTTCATACAGCTGGCTCTATGGCCAGAAAGTCCACTGTGCAGTCTGCCCTCTAGTCTTGAAGAACAGTTTCATTAAATATAGGTTATTATATTCTTCAGTCAAATCTCTATTAACTATTCAAAGTTAAAAGGAGTTTTGCTTGGGTAAGACTTGAGAGTCAAGCTCTCCTCATCTACTGAAATGCAAAGCTGTACCAGGTATTAAAAGACCACAGTGAGAACGCTATGCTTCAGAAAATACATATCTGAGCAATATGATATATGTTTTTAGAGCATTAAGCAGAATGTAAGTTAGCTCGATACAGTGTGTAAAATCTTCCCTCCCTACAATGCCGCACGTTTTGGATGGCCGTAGCAATTCATCTTAAGAGAGGATGCCATTCCCAAAACTTCTGCTTGCAGGACTCCTTTGCAAATCTTGTTTACTTTGGTTTTGCATAAGTAACAAGAATTTGGACAATGAATTTGTTGGTACACAGATCAATCCCAGTACGGGTTTGGCTAGAAGATAGGCAGCTTCAGGCAAGAAGATCACTGTAATGCCGCCTAGACAAAACCATGAGCTCACAAATGTTAACGGAAACTATTGCCTTGGAATGAGGATTTCTCTCCCTCTCTAACACTTGTCTCTACAAGACTTAGTTTACAACTGCAGATAAATGTTCACCTATATTTAACAGACAGGCTTCAAAGTACTGTGGTCACTTTGCACCATACTAACAGCAGAAAGCAGGCTACAGGACTTTATTGCTGTGCAGAGAGATCCCGCAGGGATGCCGAGCTGATGGAGAGGGTCCCATACCATTTCCCCTTCCTTGCAGAGAGCGCAGAGAACGGCCAGGGGAAATAGGGCAGGACTCAGCCTTCCCAGCAGGCTCCCAATGTGGTAATAACTCCTTGGCTACGGGCAGTGAAAGGAATTTTTGCACAGCCTTCAAGCACACAGAACGAGTTTAAGGAGTATGAAGATAATCATGTGTCCTTTTCCTATTCATGATGTATATGTTCGTTTTTTTCATAACACTGCAACAGTGTTGAAAGGTATAACTGTGTATAACATACTGCTGTGATCACTGAGCTTCAGGACAACAAGGTTTCAGTTATTTTAATCATAAACTAACTTTTTCTTGTTGAGAAATGCTCATCTTCTTGATGAGCATTACCACTTGCTAAAGTTTAATTAATGCTGTAATATTTATTGGCATTGTCACTGTTATGAAGGGAAACAAGTAATGGTGATAACATTCTATATTCCAAATCTTTTACAACAAAGGTAATTCTAAAAGGACAGTGGCTCAAGATAAACAAACACAAAATGTACAAATACATAACAGACTAAAAAATGCATATGGCCATATCATATTCTTGAATTTTAACTGCGGCTGCCTATAATTTTTCACAAACTTGAAGATGTGCTGTATTATTCACTACTTCAATTTAGTTGTAGAAGCATAAGACAGTGAATTAGTAGAAAACTCAAAAAGTTATCTAGTCCATGCCCTGCCATGTGATGTCTGATCTGGGAATTAGTCTCAATATACAATCAATCAGTTTAGCAGATTAAAGAAAAGGATCCAAAAAGACACAGTATTCCTTGTATTGCTAACAGAAATTTGAAGAGTGTGAGGGAGTGTTGGCAAAAACTATCATAGGACAACCTTATATTTTAAGCATGGAAAACCATGCTAATTACTTGTATACAAGCAGTAGCTGATCATGATTTGTAAAATTCTTACAAGTGTATGCTCCATAAATTACCTTGCTTTATCTTTTTCACCCAATGATAAAACCTGCTGTATGACCTAATTAACATATTCTGTACAATAATAGGTCTGTGTATTAAATACCTGTTATAGCAATTTATAATAAATGAGGTGTCACAGATAGAAAGCAAATTAAAGGAAGTTTTAACCATTAATCAAATAAAACAATATTATAATTCAAGATAATAACAGACAAGTTACTTACTTTAGGATGGGATGTTCTGCTAGAAAGGAAAAAAGATATACCAGATGCAATCTGCATTTTTTTACTAGGCAAATTTGCTATTAGGCCTAATGGACGTTTTTCATGAGGATCAGGCTGATTGATATTAAATGAAGGGAATTACCTTGATGAAATATTAAGTAAAGAATTTCAAATTCATGATGTCAGGAATT